TATGATTTCAGTTATTCATAAGTTACTTCTTGTGCATGTAAATCTTAATAATAAGTAATTTTTTTTTATCAATCATGGTCCATAGACATAGCGGTTGATATAATACTTTACATAATGCTACATGCAATTTATTATTGGACCGTTTAAGGTACAGTCAACTTTTTCATCCAATCACATCTTACCAACACCTATTATGTCATTCCATCTGTTACTTTCTTTCTGAAAAATAGCATTATTCATTTTTTATTATGAAAAAGTAATGTCCAGATTTAAACATAAAAATTTACTTAAAATTACTTTTAAGGCTGAAGCCAAAGATGCCCTAAAAACTATGATTTCCAGTTGGTGCTGGTGATAAAATGATGCCCGCATGGAATTTTGGAATGAGTGACAATTAATTTGGTAGGTAGATTAATTATATAACTTTGAAACCAGTCACCCCACTTATCTTGAAAACTCATTAATTTGTGAAAAGAGATTTTACTAGTACAACCTTTTGTTATTAACTTTATATTTTTTTAAATCTCAAAGCCATTATATTTTCAGTCTTTCCTAATTTAACGTTCTTCTATACTCACCTCCCGCAACATTGTCCTCACAAACTCTCGAGTTGAGATTAGTTGTCTCGAATTTGCTCTCTCATCAATTAATTTTAACGCTCGACATACATTGACGTCTTCCAATTTACTAAAAAGATGTGAGATCGATCTACATATAAAAAATATATCAAAAGAAAGACGAGTTTAGAATAATATATTTGAACTCTGAACCTCCACCCCTCTCAACTCCAAAGTCCTCATCCCCACCCCCACCTCCATGCTACATCGCTGCCTCAACTCCACCACCACTATATCCCTACCTAGCCCTTCCACAAGTGAGCCAACCTCCGATCCTCGTTGCACCCTGTCCTAGGACATCACCTCTATTGTGTCATTGCCCAAGTCTTAACCACCACTATCAGTGCCAAACCCCGCCCCCCACTGCAACCCCTAAATCCAACCCTTCGAGCTACGTCCCTAGCCTTCACCATTCCGACACTCGGCCCAAATTCTTTCACACGTGCAAAGTATCGCGACTCTCACAATTTTGTGATTTTTAACAAACTTTATAATGTTTGGAGATTGTACCTTTTGCATGTGAAAATTCTTGAAACATAAACTCATTAGAAACAATGTTATTCTTCAAAGGTATTCAATGTTAACATACAAATATAGACATGTATTCCTCATCTCAGAAATCGAAATCG